TAGCCTTAGACCATATAGTACATGGACTGCTAATTGTAACGAAAATATTGTCAAGGACATCGCCTGGGTATGTGACTTTCAGGGTAAACGAATCTGTCCGAAGTTATCCGATTAGACACGATTTGAAACTGTCAACCTATAAATTAACAAACGTCAATTAATTAATCGCTTAGATATGGCAAACGAAGCAAACCTATTCTTATTTGTGGACGTATAGAAGATAATCAAGAGTATTTAAAGCTTCCCGTACTACGCCGTTACCATAAAAGCTACTCTTTACACGATCTGAGTGGTGTTCATACGACTTTAGTTTACCCTGAGATTCACATACCCATACGACTACAGTGTCCTCTATCCGTGACCACCCATTTTGTATTGAAAGCATAGGGATAATAGCAGTCCATGTACTATATGGTCTAACGCATGTTAGGCCATAAGAATACCTTTGATCTTCACGGACAGTGTATTAAGTATATTAAACAATGACGTCACATAATTTACAAATTAAACAAAAAACATTTATTTTCAATATATCTATAAACCCTTTATAATATAAAATTACTACATAATTACTCTAAGCCCCATCTCGTTCTTCAAATATTTGCAAATTTCATTCATTAATAATAATTTTAAAGAATCGTTGGTCATTATTAACGTAGTAAGTTGAACTGCATCTTCCCACGAAACATCCTGCAAAGCAATCTTGATGGCATTGGCAAGATTTTCTCTTTGTGTCGGTGTCATGTCTTCTAAAATTACTTCAGCTACCGATTTAAATTTACCGGAACCATTCCATGCGGCAAGGATAGAACCCAATGTGCCTCCTGATAATTATGAAACAACAAATTAAAAATGTGAAAAGAATGGAAAGCTTTGTGGATTGTGTTGACGGCTTTGTAGTCTGCGAACTATTCCGAAAGTAAATGACGCACAAACTGTTAAAGAAATTCTATTTGTCGCTTGAAACTGTAAAAAATCGACTTCAAGATACATTATCCTAGACCACATACCAATTGCTAAACCAACAGGTCCTCCGAATAAGCCGCCTAACAAAGCACCTCCTCCCGCTATACAGGCACCTTTACCAGACTCAATGATAGTCACTTGTAAATTTCTTTCCTCTGAAAGCTCCACTGCAACCTTCATAAGTTCTTGTTGATTTACAGGCATCCTCTAATTCTTATCTCAAGAATCTCATCATGTGGAAGGTTGATAGTAAATAGGTAAGGTTTCTCCTTTTGAACACTGCACTTATGAGAAACGTTTAAAGGTTGCTAATAATTGCTGCGATTGTACAAAAATTTACAAATTACAAAGTCTGAGTACTACAAAAAGGAAAGCAATAAATACAAAGAAAGTATGTAAGAGAGAGACAGCGCAAACGACAAAGGCAGGCAGGCAAATACGATGTTGCCAAGAGATACTGCTCTACCACGAGCTACAGGGTGTGTAAACAGGACGTGACCTCTGAAACCACATTGATTATACATCAATACGGATGCCACAAGGCAATATTTGTTTATTTATGGTGTTTTGTAACAGGAAATATGCCATTTACTATAAAGCAGTGCAATATAATGTGTTAAATGGAAATCTCGCCTGTACAATAAAGTCGGGTTGCAAGTCTTTAATTTAAATGGCACATTTCAAAATTACAATAGAACTTCATAAAACATAGTCGTATGTACCAAATTTGATTCAATTCGATGTAATAGCCAAAATGAAAAAACATCAAAATTTTGTGTTGTTTTGAGTGATTTGACACACTTGCGCATGTGCCATTCGCCCATCTGCTTAAAATATGTACTAAATTTGGTTCCAATCGTTTAGCCGATAATGAGAGTACAGGCAGACCGAGGGGAAAATCACTGGTGGCCAGCTATTAGCAATTTTTTAGAATTTCCCTAGAATTTTTTAGAAACTTCTAGAATTTTTTTGAACTTTTAAGAATTTTTTCCGAATACACATGCACACACAATTATTATGTTATATAATTTTTAGTACTTTCTTAAGAATTTTTTAGAATCTTTTTTACAATTTTAGTGTACACAACAATTGAAGTGGTTAACGCCGAGGAGAAAATCACTGTAGAATTTTGGTGTAAACTACTACCATTTAGTAGAATGTTCTAAACTTTTCAGAACTTTTCTTGATTTTTTTCCGTACACATACACACACAATTATTACTTTGTAAAATTTTGAGAATGCTCTAGAATTTGTTTTGGGTTTTTAAAATTTTTTTTGATTTATTTTAGAATTATAGAATGCCAGACGGACAATAACATTTCATTTGCCTTTTGGAAAATACGCTAAAAAGTGCGAAATAATTGAATACAGGGAGTTGCGAATGTATGGAAAAACGGAAAACCAATGTCCTTACTGTTCACGGACTACCTGTAGGTATGTGCATTTTTCCGTTGTTTTAATAAATTTTGAACGTCGGCCGTACAAAAGTGGAAATAGATGCGTAATGTGAATTATTGTAGTTGTACGTATAAGCACTGAATAATATTCAGATTTATTATTCAATAGTATAAGTATACATACAATGCTATTAAATCAGTGAATTTCGAAGGAATAACTGTGTTTTATTTCTTTAAAACCGGGACGGCGCGTACGCAGTCCCGACTACCAAAAATTACGCGCCCGAGTTATCCACATTAGGGATAATCGCAGGAGTCAGCCCGATCGCAGTGCAATGAGGGGGCCTCATCCTGGGGAAACCGCCTTTTTGATCATGGTAACCCCTACGCCAGGTAAGTATGCTTTGTTTGCATTTTCGACAACGTCATATTGAACACTCAACGTGAAATCAAGTGTCTAAGTTGTTAGTGGCGCCACTACTTCTTCAACCTCATCAACTAACATAATTATTCAGCTATAAAAACTGGTTCAGAAGGTTGACAAGTATTTTATTGCACTCATTCCCTGTAAGTCCTACAGATGGCAACGTTGCAAAAATTTACACGTGGTAACGTTTCACTTTTGTAAGATAATATTTCGTGTAACCCGCATTCGTTACTCTGGTTTCTCTTCAAATGCGAATAAATCTTTCGCCTTTTACTAAAGATTTCCGTGGAGAGGAGCAACTCAAATGAGTTTGTAACTAATTTTTTAAATATTTAATGAAATTAAAACGAAATTTTGATGTTGGCGCTAGAATAGCATTATTTTAGCTGAACATACATTTGTTGTTTAAATGATAGTCATTTGGTGTATAAGCTTATTTTCTCGACAGAAAAATTTATTAGCAACCTGCACGAATTCAGAAGGAATACCACAAGAAGTACCCGCAGCGCCTTAAGTCACATGACCTGAGGCGACAGACGATCGATTTTAGCATACTCTGATAGGGCAAAATGGGACTCCATCGGTTAAAATTTTGATCATTCTCGTTCAGTGGATTTCGTGCTAGCTCCCCTACTATAAAGGGACCTTTTCCGATACCTACTTGTAAAATAATCACCTAAATAGGGACAACGTAAACAGGTGACTTAAAAATGTGTTTCAATGTAATGAACTTATGTTTTATCCAATGAATAAAGAATACCTTTATCAAAGATAATTGTTATCTTTGGTTTTATCATTGAATAATAAATCTATTCATTGGTTTTATAGACAATAAAATATCTTGTTTCCATCATTGAATTTGTAACTGTACATATAATATACCATTGAATTTATACATATACCTAATCTGTAGCATTGTCTGTAGCAAAGAATACATTATTAGTTACTCCTTGTCTGTCGTCAGTTTCTTGTCTAATCCATTACAACTCAAGTGCTGTCTGTCACAGTGCTCTAATAGGATTTTTTAAATTAGCATAAAATTGTAGAATTCCATGTTGATTTATTATAACAGACACTTGAGGGCGCAGCACGTAATGCTGACACGTTACTTTCTGCCATGACACAATAAATTCTAACTTTCGCTCGCAAACGGTATCGCTTCTCGGCCTATGGCTAAGATCAAAGTGTAGTATCTGTTCTTATCAGCTTAATATCTGATACGACCCGCATGCGGGTCCAGTATATTAAACTGATTTTTGGAAATTGACGGAGGTTAGGGGCTTGCTCCACCTCCGTCGCGGGTTGGCCCGGTCTTGCAGTACCTCCGGGATCGGCCCAAATAAATAAATTTAAAACAAAGTTGAAACGTAGTTGCATTTGTGTTTGTTGTTTGTTTAATAAACCATAATTTTTATAACTTTACTAACGTGACTGGCAGCGTTACTAGAGACTCCAAAGCTCGAGACAAACACACCACATTTGTCCACGTAGTACCATCGTATTTATATTCGTTTATAAATACAATGGTAGTACGTAGTGATATATGATAATGGTCTTTGGTCTTGTGGTTCGTAGATACCGCTTGTTGCAGATTCCAAACAACACAATGCCCAAGTGGCCGGTGGGAAGGCGACGCGCTAACAGCCGGCGCGCCTTTGTGTAGCGGTCTGGGGAAGTCCGTTGCAAGTCACGCCGCTCTGTATGAAGGCGTCTAATCGAAAAAGTACGAATCGTTTTGGACTCTACGCGCCCAAATTAATAAGAAAAAGTTTTTTCCCGAGAAATTTTGGTGCAGTCGATTTTTGGTAAAAACGGAAGGTAAATACACTGCCTTTTTTTGCCCAGAAAAAAAAATTGTCTCAGATCGACCGGAAAAAAACATTTTCTTATAGAATGTGGCCTGTAGAATCCATAATTCCAAACAGTTCCAAGATCGGACTACTAGATCAAAAGTTACAGCCCTTTGAATGTTTTGTCGAAATTGGTTTTTTGCCCATAACTTTTGATTGAGACGTCTAATCGAAAAAGTACGAATCGTTTTGGATACTACGCACCCAAATTAATAAGAAAAAGTTTTTGCCCGAGAAATTTTGGTGCAGTCGATTTTTGGTAAAAAAAAAGGCAACACTGCCTTTTTTTGCCCAGAAAAAAAATTGTCTCAGATCGACCCGAAAATATTTTCTTATAGAATGTGACCTGTAGAATCCATAATTTCAAACAGTTCCAAGATCGGACTACTAGATCAAAAGTTACAGCCCTTTGATTTTTTTGTCGAAATTGGTTTTTTGCCCCCTATTATTCAAAGTTTTCGTTGACTAATTAAAGCAAAAGCAATAAAGGGGCCTGTCAGCAGTAAGAAATAAAATACCGTTCTAATCTAATCTTTCGCCTGTGCAACCCAATTTCTATTTCTTCCCCCCCCCCCCCTCGGTACCTACTCTGCAGCGCTTCAAAAATGCCTTCTTTAGACTGCACCACGCATATTAAACCATCGAGTATTAAACACACTGAACTATATAATTAAACTATAAACTGGAACGCGCGCACTGCCGGTCTCTGCCATAGAAACGTAGCGCGCCGAGAGAGATAGTGCAAGGAGGATTTCTGTCACTGTCATTCATTGGGAAACTGATCATGAATAGTTGTTACCTAGGCCACTTTATCCAAAAACCATAAAAAATAATAATGTTTTTGGATATTTGGTTAGCCTTGTATGAGGCGTATGTATATTGGTTTATAGTCTAAAGAGCTAGTGTCATTTTTTAGTGATTATTTAATTAAGGACTATTTTTTATGAAAATATTATGTGGAGGGTATATATATATATGGGACTTTCATCCGTAAGTTAATATGAAGAAACAATTTGTCATAGACGTAAAATCATGGTGTCTCCTCGTTTTTGTGTATTTTGCAACAAACAACCAAACGCCAAAATAGTATATTAAGTATGGAGAACGGTAAGGGATTTTTACCGTTCGAAGACAATTGTTTGGAGGAGGAGCGAAGCGACGACTCCAATTATTGTCTGAGAACGGTAACCCTTAACGTTCGACGTGCTTATAACATTTTTTGCGCGATCGAAATTAAATTTATGCAACCAATATAAATATGCACTAAGAAATTAACGAGCAGAATAAATCGAAATGATCGAAGTGGTATGGTGTATATCACTAGGTAACCAGTTTATTTGTCAAAATTGAAGTTAATAATTTCATAAAAATGTGCATGTGTCTGATGTAGTTTACTAGCTTTGAACTTCCTTTATGACTTTATGAGCGTCTTGCTATAGGAAACAACAGCACAAATTGTACGTTTAATGTACCTAACAATAATTAAAGATTAAATGTAATGTAAGACTGTTGATTTTTAAAAAGGCGTCGGTAAGTATTTTTGCTGTTCTGTTTTTAGATCGGTAAGTAATTTTGACGTCGTCGTAATCATAGCAACTGGTAAATTCTACCTACTGTCATGGAAACACCCATGGTAAATAGTCAGAAATGACCGATCGCGCAAAAATATTATTTACGAATAGAACATTTTGCAACTAAAATAAACATGCTTTGATGTAAAGTTTTCAGACAGTGGTTTTCTTTCAATGTCTAAAACCTGTTCCCTGAGAAAGATCGCTGCCTTTTGGATCATATATGGTTGCGAAAAGTTCATCATCAATTAGTATGCGGAATTTTGATGCAATATCTAGTACAAAAAAAAAGGTATTGTACCAAATTCTGGAATAGTAATTGATGATGACTTTTAGCAACCGCATGTGGATGATATGATGAAAAAAATCTTTCTCAGGGAACAGGATATTTTTTTAGTTAGAGAATGTTTTATCCATAAATAATAATATTGTTGGCGTTTGTTCGTAGCAAAATGCACAAAAACGAGGAGACGCCATGATGTCACGCCTATATAAAAACCTTTGTGACATTAAGTGCCTGCTCTAATCATCCCTTGCAGGTCAAAACAAGCCCACGTTCTCTAACGCATCAAGGCGCCCACAAGGGAGGTTTCAATCGTTCTGCAAGGGTGTTGATACCGGAATTTTGTTCTGTCAATTGACATCTAGAATTGAAACAGCCGACATAACAACATACCTATACAAAATTGAAGGGTAACTAAATGATAAAAACTTCAGTGTTTACAAGACACATTAGGGGTAATCTGCAACCCTTTAAATATCGCCTAATCGATCTGCGGATATTGTACCGAAAATTGTGGAGTACCAATTGATTAATAGAAAAAATTGCGACCTTAACTAAATAATAACTTTTAACAGGTTGAGGGCATTAACTATCTTATGCACCTTCAGTTGTTTGCCAACTAGAAAAATATGTATTGTAAAAAGAACTTTTACTGTAGTTACAAATCAATAAATATAAGGTCCTGTTCTACCGCTGTACAATAAAAATTACATTAACAGTCCTACAAAACAAATAAAGTAACATTACGACCTTCTCATAGTTAACATTGTATTTATTTCCCAAATAATTCGTCTTAAATGATCAATTACTTCTTTTAGCTGCCTGTTTTTCAACACCACCTGTTCCATCACTTCCTTGCTTTCCTCGCAAGCCAATCGATATGCTTCAGAATTCTTCTTCTCGTCGTGCTTCAGATCACTTTGGTCTTTAAAGGGTATTAAGCTTTCGACGTGGGTGTATTCCATGCCTTGCAACTGGCAATTCTCATTGCAACGTTCGTATATGAGCCGAAGGCGTTTAAATAGTACACGAATACTCCTTAGGAGTTCTTGAACTTTCGCTTTCTTTTCATTGCATGTAACGCTTCCCTGTGGTGTTCCATTTGGAGGCTTTAAAGACAAAACTTCAATTAATTCATTCTAGTGATTGTTTTAAAAGATGGTACCTGAATAGTTTTTAAAGTTTGGAACACTTCTTGTGTCCTACTAACAATATCTTGCACAGTTTCTTGGCCTAGCCTACATAGTGAAGCAGTATTGAATTCTTTCGACTGCTGTGTATGTTGTTGTAACGGAGGTGTAGGTGCAACATTTGGTGTTGTCTGTAACACTTGCTGTTGCATTGTGTGATGTTGCAAACCTAACATAATTACAGAATGTCAACACAAACTACTCCACGGGAAGTACAGTTAATATTTACCTATAGCAGTCTGTTGCATCTGCATATTTGGTGCCTGACTTAAAGGATTTGTATTTCCCATATTATACTGTTGATTGATTTGTCCCATGGCTCCTAACATTTGCCCACCACTCATTGAATTACCCATTTGGTTATTCATAGAATTCGACATTTGCGATACCATTTGATTGCTTAACTGTGTATTCATTTGATTCGATAATTGGACCGGTAACTGCTGATTTGCTAACTGGTTATTTAAAGGATTTTGCATTGCAGCGCTCATTTGATTTTGCATTGGTCCTCCGACAAATTGCGATCGCATACCACTCGGCTGAACATTTGCGAGTCCTGGTAGAAAATGATGTGCGGAGCCGGACATTTTCTGTAATGAGAAATACTTATTCTAGTTATACAATTTTTAATTTGTTTGCAAACTACAATTCATTCCATGTACACAACAACCAACGAAATTAACCTCAAACCTCACTTATAAAGTCTTGTTTACACGATGAGTGGAGAGATGTTGCGTAGCCATATTCACACAGGTCAAAGCACCATTGGCGCTTTCGGAGAACACCACTCACCGGCAATTATACTGCTGTGGCATTGATTATTAGTGTGTGTATAATCATTGATTATACATTCATTGGTAGAATCAATGGTATAATAATCAATGCTTTTCCAACGGTACATTCCAGATACTATGATACCTCTGAACGCAACCATTTCATTATAAACAACTTTTGGAATCTAGACTGTTGGAAATGTCACGTCCTGCCTTCCCGTTTCCAGCATATATATACTTCTCTTATATATATGGTTTCCAGTGGTGGAGGAAATTTGATTAAATGTCAAAATCATGAGAAATGAATTGAATGTCCACTATTTATTACCAATTGTTTAGGTTAAATGTAAATATCTACTTCTAAATTAACTGATTTTTCATACAAGGCTTAACAAGAAATAAATTTTGTATCTACAGCTAAAATGTGTTACTTAGTGCCTTCTGGTTAAAAAAAACTTAAAATTCTGATCATGAATGGTGTAGATTGTTTGGAACCTGATACAGTTGATCGGCGACCTATTATAACTTGTAGGTCAAGGAATAAATTAATGATTCCTCATTAACGTTCTGTTTTCAGGTGCAGGCGAACTTGAGGTGTTTTCAGCTTTAGAAGACTCTCTGACACAGGCATTACCACAAGATTCTTGTGAACTGCGTAGATCTCTAGGACGTCCTGTACGTCTAGTACATATTGGTGCACATTTTATACCCTTTAGTCCAGATGCCTTGCCAAAAGAGAACCAGTGGGATCTTATTCGCCAGCCTCTCTTTCATGTTTACTGGACAGAATGCACTGTAATCGTTTTGGTAGTTGTGTATGTGCCGTTAACAGGAGTTTTCTAGGATGTTGATGCATACAAAACTAGTGTTAAGGATGATATTGAGTCATGGATGAAAGAAATAACCGGCAAAGAAATCTCAGATTGGCTAATTGTTGTAGTGGAAAGTTATGATGGAAAAAGAACAAATAAGTTATTGCCTAGAACAACTGTGCTCGATAGAATACGTGCAGATTTTGCAACTAAGCAAGGTGGTAGTTCTGTTGTTGTTTTCATTAACAATTGACATGTTGAATTGTAGGGGATCGATGTATATCTGTGATAAATCCAGGCCGATTGGAAACTAGATCTGCAGACTCGTGGAGGGGATTAGTGGGCCGAGTTAGGCACCTGGTATTAGTCGCATACGCTCGTGCAGTTGTCAAACTTGAAGATCACGTTCGTCATCAAAGGGAGAAACGTAACGAGCCAGGATGGGATTTCATGAATTATTTTTCTCTTCAGGTGAGCGTGTAATATCTGTTTATGTTTAATTCGCTGTTGGTATTTTTAGGAGGAACTTGCACAAGTATTGGAGATGTTGGGTTTGTACGATGAGGCTTTAGTGCAGTATGACGAATTAGATGTACTTTTTTCTCAATTCATCGTGAACGGTCATATCGGTGAATTAGCAAATTGGTTGCATAAATTTCAGAAACCGTTAGAAAGATGGCATGGGCTTAAACTGGGACCCAGTAAATTAAAGAAAAATCCTTCGTTTTTAGAATTAAGGGCGTACTTGTTCGCCAAACAGGCGCATATGCTGCTACTAACAAACAAAGTTTGGGAAGTAAGTTGATTAAATGGTTGATAAAGTTTTACTTGGAATTTCTTTTACCTATACTGGCTTCGGTTTAATTATTCAAAATTTGAAGTACTTAAAATGGTGGTAGATAGTTCTGCACAACTATTGGACGTTTAGATCCAGAATTGCAGAAAACATTTTGAAAATTTTACCATTTAATCTTTGCACGTTTGTGTTTAGTGGTTCATCAGGTAAACTAAAAACATTAACAGAGAGAGCAATTAGGTAAGAGATTACTACAGTGCCTATAAAGACAGTGTGGCCATATAGTGGTGTTATTTTTTATTGGTGGTTGGGAGATCCGTTATGTTTTAAGTAAATACACAGGATTGGTAGAAAGTAACTTGATGATGATGTCACCTTGCTAGAAACAATTGTAATTCACGAGGTAATTCATCAAAAATTGATTACACTACTCCCTTCTACAATACACAGAATTCAACATGAAAAATTATGATGGACTAACCCAGGGGTCGGAAACCTGCGGCTCTTTTGATGTAAAGTTGCGGCTCTCTGCATTTATCTAAAAAACTTAGTACATTTTTTCGAAATTCATGTTAATGGATCTTATTTTATTACGAAATTGAAAGTACACTTGCAGCACATAATTACCTAATTTGCGACACTTGTCTGTCTTTTTTTATTATGACAGCCTACTCCGATGTATAAATATGTAATTAATTAATAAGAAAAAAATTTGAATAACATAAAAATTATGAATTTTAAGCACAGGACACCTGGTATAAAAAATTGAAGAGGACACAAAACACAATCGAATAGCGAAATAAAATAGTGGTAGATAAAAATTTGAAAAATAATAGTTATGAACAAATGACATTGAAACAAGTACAAAAATTGAGGATATTCTATTTAAAAAAAGCATTTATTTATTGACACCGTAAAAATGGGACACCCTGTACATTCAAAAATAATTTCTGTAGATCCACAACCATGTATAGTTGCACACAAGATTTTTTTAAAATCTTTCTTACCAGGCATAAGCTAGAAATGACGGACGTAATGTTGCACAACCCTGTATATGACCAAATATTATAGCATTGATTCGAAAATTTTTAGTGGCTTTAAAAACTGGGAAATTTTGCAAATTGTAACTTTTGGCTCTTCCGTTTCAATAGGTTGCCGACCCCTGGACTAACCAACAAGGTATAGTCATAGTTTCAATACTTTTTAAACAATGGTAAAGTGCAATGAAGGTATTGTTCACTTGCTCTGGAATGCACTTATTATCACCTTGTTTATTTTCGTAACGTAAAGTTAATAAGGTGTATATAGTAATTAACTAAAGCGTGTATTTCAAGGCCTCCTAAGCAAGTTATGCTATAACTGACACAATTTTAGAAAATCTAAAATAAAACGTAAAGCATAACAAATGTAGCACCAAGTCAGTGTTGTTGACTTTAGATGACTTTTTGAAATTCAAGTCAATGGAGTCATATAGGTACAGTGCTCAAAATAACAACAGTCAAACGTGAAACATTTTTCAAAATCTTGAATAACCTTTGATGTTGGGTATAGGGAAATGTGGTACGAAACGACGTAGATTTGCAGGTAGATTTCTAAAATGCAATAAAATACAGGGTGTTCTATTTAAAATAATTTAAAAGTGTTGGCCACACTACTGTTTTATAAAGTCTAACCTTGCCATTTCATGCCAGATCTTCTGAATTAAGGCTTTTATCTACAAAATAAAGCAGTTTGACAACTAAAGATATTATTGTTGACTTGATACACTATTTGATCTGAAAATTCGCAATAAGGATCCCGCACTCTTATTGCCCTTTCCCGTCTCCCCCCATGTAGGATATCCTCACTCATAAATAGGTCAAGTCTCCACTTCTATTTCATTCAGGTTTTCGTCCTTAGATCTAAATGTTAAATTTCTGCTCTTTTGTTCTCTACTACTAAGGCTACATCGTCGGCGAAAGCAACTATTTGGCGTCTATGGTGGTATAAATTTCTGTGTGTGGAACTCGCATCTCCTTACAATTTGCTCCAGTAATAAATTAAATAAATTGTTAACAGGTCTCCCTATCGAAGTCCCCGTCTAACCCCTGTCTTTTGTTTTTCTTCTCTTTCTATTTGTCTCCGCTTTAAGTTTGTCATTGTTTTGCATTCTTTTTTCTCCTTCTTCATTTTACCTCAAAATTTCAAATTGTGTGTGTGTAATGTGTTAACTGTGTTTATTGAATGTCAATTTTTTTCGCTTATTTTTCTCTCTTCTGTCTTGCTGTAACAGCTTGTAATAGCACACAATCACAAAATATAATTTCTAATGCATTTTGTTAAAGGAAGAAAAGGGTTCTAACTAAATCGTAAAATTTACCACCCAATTTCCCTCATGAGAGTAATTGGGTGGTATTTACTTCCTCCAATTTTTGGACTATTTTTTGCATTTTCGATCACGATTATCAAGGAAACGGTTTGAGATTTTATTGGAGTGCAGACATTTTTAGGTGCAGATACTAATAATTGGTACCCATTTTAAAATCTGATTTTATGCATTTGTTTAATGGATGCGAAAAAAAAGTGTTGGACTTGCACAGTTGCTGCCATACCCTTGCAAACATGCTAGAGATTATGCCATTGATAAAATAATACACCCAAGTAGTTTAATATCACTGAAACTTGCAAGACATGGCACTGACCAGTGAAAATTTTGTTCCAGATGGCCGCGCGTTGCCTTCCATTTTTGCACGGGTGCATAAAAGAATTTACACTTTTGGACGTAAGTGCACCACCGGGTGCAGTCTCGTGTTGGCTCTTCTTGGCTTCCATGGAGGTACTGCAGACCTGCGATCACTTTAATCAAGCCGATCAGGTGGACGCATATTCCGCAAATACAGCGGCACTTTGGGCTTACGCAAGCCAGAAGGTAACTGAGGTTTGAAATTCGTGTCGTAATGGTCACATGATTAAACTTAGTTAAGGGACCTGGGCGAGCTGTGTGGGTTGTTGCCCGGAGAAAGCCCTACGTCGGCGCAATTGCATATGGTGGTCGGCCTTTCAGCAGGAATGGGAGATTGTCCGGGACGATCTGGGGAACTATCTCCTACTGACAAACTTAAGAAAGCTCTCTCATCTCAAGATGCATTTAATAAAAATTACTTGGTAAGTCTTTTCTCTTCGTCGTTACTACAGATGTAACTGTACTACAGATAATTCATGACATAGAGAAATCAGAAAACAAAAAATTTGCTGTTGCAGCTACTGCAACTTATTTTGCCATTCATCTTCTTTAATTAATTGGTTTAGATTTGCATCTGCACTTATTAAAGAGAGACAATCTAGAGGTCGAATTTATGTAATTGTGGACTCAAGGTTGCAATAAGTATTTAATTTAGTTTACACTTCACTCTACTGTATTGTTTGATTTTTGTTCCTGGGGTCATCCCCGTGTTAAATAAATAAATATTTATTGCCAAATGCTGATGTAATTCATTTTGTACTGAAGGAAACTTGATCTTTTAGACAGATTTAGATTTGTCATAAACATTTGTGGATTTAAACATTATTTGGCGGTAGTTATTGGCATAATGAATATAACCTATTTCAATAATCAAATGATTAAGGTTTGAATATTATAGTCCAGGCTATATAATAGTTTACTATTAATTAACTATTAATTTTAGCCGAAAATGTTAAATGTAAAAGTTATACAGATTAAAAAATGAGCAACTTTTGTATCAGCACTATTTTCACATAACCTCCAATTTTCCTAGAAAAACCGGAAAAACTGTTTTTTTCGTTTTTTATTCTTATTTTTGCGAAAAAATGTCGTAGGGGTTTGAAATTTAGAGCAAACATAGCTTGTTTTATGATAAAAAAGAAGATCATTTTTTGGACCTGTAAAGTTGAACCGTTTCCAAGATCTCACGATTTCTGAAAAAAAACCCCTTTTTCAAGGGGATGAAAAATCTATTTTTTTTTCATCGTACAGAGGTGCGCGTGGTAGCAAAATTTTCGGGAAGACTTATATTTTAATAAACAAAAATAAAAAAATATTATTCCTATAGCAAAAATTGGAGAAAATCGACAAAAACTGGAAAAACAGTTTTAAGATATACACGATTTTTGACATGATAAATCAACATATTGGATGTTAATAATGATTTTTTCGAAATCTGTCTTCTTGCTTCTTTAATGTTTGCTTAAATAGTCTCTTTTTTTATCTTATGCTCAACTGTTTTAGTTAAAACATCTTTATTATTTCTTTTTTCTGCATTTTTACCGCAATAAAAGCAATTCGAAATAAAATCGGATTATCTTGCTTAATTCCTGATTCCTGAACAATTTCTTTTTGCTCACTGACTCTTCTTCCTGCCTGTTTTATAGCTGATGCAATTACGTTGGGCCTGTTGAAAACTTGCAAAATCTGAAATAAGAACGTTAGTTTTACCGGCCATTGACCAAAGCAAATGATTTGAGATGTAAAACCTGGAATAAACTTTATGAGGATTTTATTCATAATTCCTGTAAAACGATCAACAGGGCCAGCTTAATCCCATCAGCTGTAAAACAGGCAGGAAAAAGAGTTATTGAACAAAAACAAATTGTTCAGGAAGCAAAAGAATTCGATTTTACTTCGAATTGCTTTTATTGCGGCAAAAATGCAGAAAAAAGAAATAATAAAAATGTTTTAATTAAGGCAGTTGGGCACTGGGAAATATTTTATCAACATTAAAGAGGGGAGAGAAGACAAATTTCAAAAACTTTTTATTAGCGCGGATCCAATACGTTAATTTATTTGCAAAAAAAGCTATTTACCTACTGCCAAAACGGTATACCTTAAAACTGATCCCTCAGTTTTTACCCCTTTTCTTAAAATTTTACTATTGGAATAATATTTTTTATTTTTGATTATTAAAATGTAAGTCGTTACGAAAATTTTGCTACCCCTCACACCTCTGTACGATGAAAAAAAAATAGATTTTTCATCCCCTTGAAAAATAGGTGTTTTTTTTCAGAAATCGTGAGATCTTGGAAACGGTTCAACTTTACAGGCCCAAAAAATTATCTTCTTTTTTATCATAAATCAAGCTATGTTTCCTCCAAATTTCAAACCCCTACGACATTTTTTCGCAAAAATAAGAATAAAAAACGAAAAAAACAGTTTTTCCGGTTTTTCTAGGAAAATTGGAGGTTATGTGAAAATAGTGTAGATACAAAAGTTGCTAATTTTTTTAATCTCTATAACTTAACATTTTCGTCTAAAATTAATAGTTTCGCCACAATTTGCAAAACACCAGTTTCCACCCCTTTCAACCCCCGGGATTTCACCCGCGGAAAAATTCATCTGTTTTAATTATTTTTTCCCAATTTCTATTCATTTCACCTGCCTGAAAAACCAGGTTTCGCCCGGTAACTAATTTTTTTTGAAAATAAATTATTTTAGAGCTCTTTTTTAGCCTGGACTATTATTACACTTACGAAATAAAAGAGATCTTTCCTAGTTACAATCAAGAGATCAAGACTAACTTAAAATTAAATATACATTTTGGATCCTTTGACCCAGACCAGACAGATACCCTTTCATACCTTTTAATGCTGCTATTTGATCATTTCTCAACAGTTTATTATTTTGTATGCAATGTATTTTTTCTATTAAAATACTATGAAATTTGAAATAATTATTGATTAAAATAGTCCTAAATATTACAGGTTTGTAAGTATATCACAAGTTTAAAAAAGGAAGTCTGTGTTGTGTGTAGGTACTATGACATTGTTGCTGGATTTTACTTTGAATTTAGAGTCACTGTAGCTAGTTTATATCTATGTGAAGCTCTTTCTGTGGTATATTTACATACTTATGTGAATTTTGCTAAGAGGCACACTTTTACTCTTTAACAGGAATTAGCTGAATTGGCAATGGGTACCTACAAACACATTGGTCATCTTAGATCCGCACGCCTTATCGGACTCGAAGTCGCTTCATTCTACATGCTCCTGTCGGAAACTCTAAAAGCGGGCGCATTTCTGGGAGATGCGCTGCGTACGTTCGAATTAGACGGTTGGCACGAATTAGCCGCGCAGACGCAGGTCAAATTGGCGGAATGTTATCGGAAGGCCGACGATGTTAGAAAATTTATCGCATCGTGTGCAGCAGTGAGTGCGGCGCCGGAAATCGACAATCTAATTAGATTGAGTTACTTTGACGAGATGAGGAAGTGTTTAGATAATTTAGATAAGTCTTTAGTAGTGCCTTTCGAAGATATTATAAAAATAATGAATATTACTATTAAGAATAATAACGGTTTGGTGATGCACGATGGTATTATGGAAGTTCAGTTGGTCGTCGATTGCAACTTTCCGCGAGAAGTTTTATGTACAAATATAGTTATGACATTAGATCCGGAGAACAAAGAGCATAAGAAGGCGAAGGATAAGAGTGCGAACGATCGGACATTTACCCTTAAAAATGTAAAAAATGACAGTGATTCTATTTTTCAAGTCTTGCACATGCAAAGGCATTTGGATTATAAGCAAGATAAGCAGTTATCGAGCGCTAATGTTGTATGCAAAAATGTTCCGTTTAAACGAAAAAATAGTAGTATATCGCCTCGACCGTGCAATTTCGACAGTTGCTTGGAGGTAACTAAACTTGTAAGTGTTTGTCTCATTAGATAATGTTGACCGTATTAATAGTAATCATTTCAGCCCATAGTTTTAACTCCCGGTATTAATGTTATAAGACTGACAAAGAAGGGTACAGATATTGGGAAGTTTTACTTAGCTCATGTGGCCATTAATATTGGAAAGTTATCTCTCATTTCGAATCCCTTAAACCAGAAATTGTTAATTGAGGTAATCAAGGAGGAGCCAAGTTTGCGACTCGATAAAGAAGAAAGGGCTTTGCTTTACGGTTTAGAGCAAACCATGCAGTTACATATGAAAGTCGGTAGCTATGCTATAGCTAGGGTAATTTTTGTACTTCTGAGTTTAAACCGTTTTATACAGTTGTGACTTTTTTTGTAGGATTCATTTATTAAAATTACTGCGTCGCGAGGCGTGACAATACAGTATATTCCCAACGAACAGTTAACTAGTAGTTTAGAAGTTCCTATACTAAATATAGAACCGTTTACAACGTCAATGACGCCTTTACGCGTTTTCGCAGAGCATTCGTCTAAAGACCATCAAATCACTCTGGTTTGCCCGTGGAGTAACAAACCCATTCCTGTAACGTTGAGTTTTAGTCCTTTACTTGCCATTTCATGGAGATTACATACTGTACAGAATAGAAAATTTATACATATTACTTTGACAGGACAATCCGACATCAGGTTACAGCTTTCAACAACTCAGCTGGATTTTCGAGATGGCATAAAAACTCTACGGTTCGATGTTAGTGACCCTACCGATGAGGTATGTACAGCTCTTTGCATATATATAGTCTGTTTCAAATTAAGTGGGCACTATTACTAACTTTCTTACTAGTCGAGATAGAAAGACGGTTAACTTATTACAATTGTGTACTTTTTTCTACTGAATCCAAATCTGAAATTTAAAAAAACAAAACATGTCACCTTTTTACATGCAACACCCTGTATATTATTACACCATATGTTAAGTGCGCGCTGCTGTGTTCATTTAATGGTAAAACATTATTTAATTTAGTATTTGTGCCAAAATCAAGTAGTCGTGCTTTCCCATTATTTGGTAAGTAAGATAGCTCATGACACATGAAAAATAGTTGCGCGGTCAAGTATTCAAGCCAGCATTGCCTCTAGTGTGCGAGATAACGAAAGGTGTCGCACGTGCCCGGTAAAAACTTTAAATATTTGTACATTTGTATATTTTTGATTCATATAATTGGTAATTAACAATATCGCATTATTGTACAAATTATATTCATTAACAAATACAGTCTCAGTCGGCGACAAGAAACGGCTGAACGGACGGACTTCACCAAGCGAACGATCTCTGGTCAAGGTCGGCAATAGCCTCGGGTGTAACCTCATCCTTAGAAACGGTAGCTCCAGGAATCTGACAGATTCAGAAGATGGCGGCGGTCATATCGGCAAAACAAAATTACGGCAAACTCCCTAGCGGAAACGAAAGCAACAAAACACAAATGACCGGAAAAGCAATTGTGGGAAAGCAAACAATATCCCCCCCTATTAATTAGTGAAACGGATAGTAACAAAAAGCTAACCTTGAAGTTAACGGAGCGGTGGCAAAAGTGACTTAATTTGCAAATCAAATTGAAACAGTGCTGTTTATTGGAATTCACAGGTCAAACGGCGAGATCAACGATATCACTAGGTATCTACGAAAGCTTCGCGACCTTGCCGTTCCAACACTCACTTTAAATTTACCATAGATAACAAAACCTGCTAATAATCGCTTATCATGTATGAAATTTTAAAATATTTTTTTTTAAATTTTTTTTTATTTTTTTTTGTTTATTAAAGGCATCGACAGCTAAGGTCATTAGCCTATTATATGTCTAACCTACGCAAAACTTATAGTTTTCCGAATACATCAATTTCCTTTAAAAAAGCTATTAATTTTCTGATATTTTCAGCTGTTCGGGTCATTTCTAGTAGGTTCGCAGGTAGCTCAAAACGTGTCCCACTGATCGCCAACTGGGGACACACATGTAAAATGTGTTCGATAGTGATCTGTTCCCCACAGTAAAGACATATGGGAGGAGGCTCACCACGTAATAGGAATGTGTGAGTGAGATCAGTGTGGCCTATCCGCACACGATGTATTTTTACTCGTTCCCTTCGAGTTAACTCTAGGGGCGGTTTCCATCTTTTCAGGTCACCTACTGCCGCTCTTAGAGCCATTTTTAGATCTACATGTCTTAACTCGCTGACATCTATACGATCTCCTCCTGCAGCTTGTTTAGCTGCTGTATCGGCCGATTCGTTACCCTCTATACCTACATGGCCGGGTACCCACGCAAATACGATTCTCTTATCCATTTCACTAAGATCCTTATATAGGGCCTGAATTCTCTGTATAAGAGGATCACGGGAGAAAAGGTTTCTTAAGCTGACAAGGACACTGACGTTATCACATGCTATTAGAAATCCGCGTCCTTCCTGAAAAGAGGAGTAGAGGAGAGCTTGCCACAGCGCATACAACTCTGCTCCATAACTTGAATACATGGGAGAAAGTGTCCACCCATACGACGAATCACCAACGCATATGGCACTACCTGCTCCCGAATGAGTTAGTGATCCATCTGTATAGATCGCAGTTAATTCGCGATATTGGTCCAGCAAAGCATTGAAAGAATTTCTAAATATTTTCGGCGACGTAATCTCCTTCCGGTACTCAGCAAGCTGGAGATTAACTTCAATTTCTGGCATCGTCCAATATGGAACCTCTCTATGTCCAATCGGGAACATATGAGGGACGTCAATATTCAATTTGTCAAGCAGTTGCAACGCTCTCACTCCCGTCGGCCTAGTAATGGAGGGCCTGTCAATGAAACCTCGCTTTTCCCCAAACAAAAGGTCATAATTAGGATGATTCGGTTGGGCTCGGATTCCTGCCGCGTATCCACTAATTAACTTATCTCGTCTGCGTGACAGTGCCGATAATCCAGATTCTGTATACAATTTATTCAGGGGGCTGGTATGGACCGCACCCAGCGAGTACCTTATCCCCCGGTGGTGTACAATTAATTTGCCCTCTTCTTCTCTGGCAAGAGAGCTTTCGGCGGGTCTGAAAATTATTTTAAATATTCCTGTCGGAACGATTGCAAAACCGATACATTCACCCCTTAACTTACATGCGATATCGGCGGTAAAACAAACAATTAAACAAAATGAAAACATAGAAAACTCACTTCTCGTCTCCGACAGCAGAATTGAGAAGCTCCTTAGTAACGAAGCGGCCAACTTAAAACGCTTTTAGATACCGGGTGTTCAGCAAAGCTGGTAAATTTCACAAATATATGGTGTGATCATAACTTCGGGTATGAAAATAAGTAACTTTATTACACCAAAATCTGCCTGGTGAAAAACTTATAGTGGGAAAAGAAAATAATGGTATAATTTGAGCTAGCTAGTTACATGATGTCTGTTAGGTGGTATTTTGACCGTAGACCATTAGACACAGCATTATCTATTTGGCACACAATGTGGGGCCACAGCAATATGGTATCCCTGCAATATGTATACCAAAGTTATGTGTAACGTACAGATTAAAGATTCTCCAGGTGATGCCAAATAATCAAAGCCTTTCTTTAATTTCAGATTTTGGAAAATGGTTTAAGTATTTCTTACGTTTGGGAAATACTGATTACTCCGAGCATCGAATCACCTCCACTGAAAGCCCAATTTTCAACCTACTATACTGCTCTTATATCGGAACATGTGTCTTCTACTCTTGACACAACAACACGAAAATTTACTTACAATTTGGACATTGCAAATTATCAGGTAATATCGCAAATGTGAAGGAATATAACTTATTGATCTATTGTAGACGCTCTATGTAGTAGAAATTGACGTTCAGCCGACTAAGGGTAACGAATTTTGTCGTGTTGGTGCTTTATGTAACTTAAATTTGTGCATAAAACCTGCTAGTCACACGTTAGATGCTGTAGAAATAGAAACTTCCTTAATGTACGAGGTGCTAGCGGAACCTACAGTGTGGGCAGTGTGCGGACGTACAGCCGGTGTAGTCTCCTTTGAAACCGACATGGAACCTCAAATTATAGTATTAGAAGTCATGCCTTTAAATAACGGGTTCTTGCCACTACCTCTTGTGAGGTTATCAAAGTACATCCCTGCTGATGCCTCAACTCCAGGTAACTTTTGTTGTTAGTTCTTCTATGTATGACAACTATTCGTAGATAAGTCACGAAAAGGAGGTGAAAGTCATCCCCGTCTGGAACCGTTCAGTCCAGGTCAAGTGTACAACGCTAGCAAAGGACATCAGGTACACGTTATTGCTGGAACAGTTGCCGAGACAACTGCTACATAACGATAGGAAGTGAATATAATGTACAATTATTTTATCTAAATGTATGTAGAGATGTATATAATCGTATATAGTTAGTACAGAGCATATTTCATTATCAATTTTGTGCCAATTTTTTTCTTATGTTTTTATTATTGCGAAGAAAATTAGAGTTATTGTGTAGGTATATATTGATAATCTGTGGTGCAAAAGTTAGGTATATTTTAAAATATGGCGAAGACAAAATACTCATTTATCATCTTTGTTTTGTTAATTTATAAACATAATCGCAAAACACTAAAACTTAAATTAGGATTTTAATGTATCTGTGATACTACACTCTACAATCTTCTCTATTGTTTGAATAAAAATTATATATTCAACCAATAGGAACGCGTGTATGTGGTTGGGTAACCGATACATGTAAATCTGACTTAAGTAGTTTTTTTTGTATTATCTGTTACAAAGATATGTTGATGCTTATTTAAAATGGTTATTGAATAAAGTTTTGTATATAAATTCTTGGCATTTTAATAATAAGCATTTATACATATTGCAGTCGATAGAACAGATGAAGATAGGCATACTGTCACGAACTTTTTATGGCAAATTTCGTCCTCAATTTATTTCTTAAAAACCACCCTACAGTTGAAGAAGTGCAGTTGAAAATGGCAAAATAAAAAACAATTGGATAACATAATAGTACATTATATATCAAGGTAGAGAAGTACAGTATTATTGCCTGAGCACCAAGATTACATCTCGAGGCGCTTGCGCCGAGGGGTGTAAGGTGCGAAGGCAATAATAGACTTCTCTACCGTGGTATATATACTATTTTTTTCACTACTAGCACTTGAAGTCCTCTAAATTAACATATTATATTGATAAGAAAGTGAACGGTTGGACAGAATTGTTTGTTTATTAATTTAACATGTCAATCAAGTGTGTGGAAGTACAAGTCAAACAGGCCGTATTTTGTTCTGTAATTTCGTTCGAATTTTTTCAAAATGTGATAATTTTAGGTATGTAATTTCTCTGGAAATGGCGGATGGTGGCAATTATTCATTTTAGAGAACTTGTCCAAACGTTTATTGAGCGAAATTTCGGGTTGTGTTTTCTAAAAGTGACAGTGTGACAGTTCTCATTATTGACTACTAGTTAATAATGTCCACATTATTAACCACTTTGAACAAATGCCGAGAAAGCCTACTTTACAAGTGGAAAAAAGGTTAATAATCATGTCATCAGACGCTAGTAGTGAAAAAATAGTACATTATATATCAAGGTAGAGAAGTCCACTATTATTGCCTGAGCACCAAGATTACATCTCGAGGCGCTTGCGCCGAGGGGTGTAAGGTGCGAAGGCAATAATAGACTTCTCTACCGTGGTATATATACTATTTTTTTCACTACTAGCACTTGAAATCCTCTAAATTAACATATTATATTGATAAGAGAGTTAACGGTTGGACAGAATTGTTTGTTTCTTAATTTAACATGTCAATCAAGTACGTGAAGTACAAGTCAAACAGGCCGTATTTTGTTCTGTCATTGAGATTTTTCAAAGAGTAATTTCGTTCGAATTTTTTCAAAATGTGATAATTTTAGGTATGTAATTTCTCTGGAAATTGCGAATGGTGGCAATTATTCGTTTTAGAGAACTTGTCTAAACGTTCATTGAGCGAAATTTCGGGTTGTGTTTTCTAAAAGTGACAGCGTGACAGTTCTCATTATTGACTACTAGTTAATAATAAAAAATTATTAACCACTTTGAACAAATGCCGAGAAAGCCTACTTTACAAGTGGAAAAAAGGTTAATAATCATGTCATCAGACGCTAGTAGTGAAAAAAAATGATTATTTCATATCACAGGATAGTTCATTGTTGTCATTATCAGGTTTTGGCAGTACATGCAATTTATATACAGCACGTTTTAAAAGACCATGTGTGTGAATCTCAATACACCCCAACAGTCAATTCATTGAAGATACATTATCTTCTCGAATCAAGACCATATCTTTTGTTTTCTGATATATTCCTTCGCCCACCAAGACCAAAAATGGTGCATACCTTGGAGCATTTGATATTGAGATATAATGTATCCTTGCTTAACTGAAAGTTTTCTTCTGTTAATGCAGCAATTGGTCTTGCGACTAAAAAACGATGTGGGGTAAGGGGTTGGTAATCATTGAGACTTTGTGACAAAGGATGCAAAGATCGATCTGCTCCACATAAACCGTCGATCTCGATGCTAAATGCTGAAATTTAATTCATTTGCAGCAGATAAGAATCCTTGCAGTCTCATTTGAAATTAATTTGCAATTTTTAATAAAACATGCTAATGCTCTTTGCTTGCGAGCTGTGATTACAAAGACATTTAGAGAGGATAGACATGTTGTACTGAATGTTGCATCCCATACCTATATTTGAGTTGAAATCCACTCTTTGAATAACCGATATATGAGATTTCAGCACTTCTAAGCTCTGTCTATTCAATGTAGGCTCCTCCATTGTGGCTGAGATATTTCCAAAATAGTTCGGGTCGAGGCCCAAATTTGATCTATTGAGCAAATTACCTACACACGGCCTCTGATGCACAGGAACTATATTACCTCTGCGTTCTTTCTATCTTAGAAGGTAACTTAGCAATTTTGCCCTGAATGCAGTAACATGCACTGCATCTTTTACGAATAATAACGAATGCATAGTAAAAACAGTGAACACTGACAACAGAAATTGTTGTTTCATTACAATACGGTTGTTATGTTGTATCAAGGTACACGGAATTTTGGAAAAAAGCATGTACTTCTTAGTACAAGCTCTGAGAGATGGTTTGCTATACGCGGATTTGTAATTTTGAACTTAGCAGATTAAGTACCAACTTATCTCTTCAATTACTTTCAAAAGAAGCCATTTTTGGAGGCTTATGAGAAGCAATGGGATATGAATTATAATGTTTAACTATAATTTCACTATACGAATAGTTGTAGAATGGTCTTATTTCCGTATGTCAAAAAAATATTAGGTAATTTTGAAAACATTATTTGTTCACACACCTAATACTTGATTTGATAACATGCTTATTTAATTTTAATCAATTCTTTGAACTGGTTTACTCGAATTTTCCGCATTACTATCTGCAAGATATTCATAGATAAGGTTAGTCATGCATGAGTATATATAGGGGGAGACTGGCATATTTTTCTTAAATACACTCAAGATGCCCCTAAATCAAAGAGAACTGATAAATGTAGTGGTCAAGTTGGCAGAACATAAAAATTTACGAGTGACCATAAAAGAATCGGCAAAAGCTGGCGCTATAGCGGGAGGAAGTGCTCTTATAGGCGGTTTATTAGGTGGACCTATTGGTATAGCTATAGGTAAGTACGTACATATTGTACCTATAGTATGTATATGGAGTTAGGTACCTACTTATTTCTCACACTCACACAAAATTACAACAGCGTGCCAGTTAAAACCATTTTTTAGCATATTATATCCATCTTCTATGTTCAAATTCGCGTTCAAGGGCCCAAAAAAATTAAATAGATACACGTAAACTACAGCAAAGTTTTCAATGCAGCACATGATCTGGGACGACTGGTAATTAGTAGGTAATAGTTTATTTCACAATTCATTTTTAAGAATAGGTTTCAAAATTGCTCCTGTCGGCGTCATTTTGCCTGTGTTAGTTTTCATTGCGCTACATAATGATTCATTAAATCGGTGATCAAGCTCGATCGCATACATAACAAATTTATTAAAGAATTAAGTGCTAAAAGAATCATGGATGTGACCTATATACCAATGCAACCAAATGCTATGCAAATTTGATATGAACTTTACATATTCCCAATTTGTTCAGGTACGAGTTTATCTTTTTGAGCATTGCATTTCGAATGCTGCAACAGTTCGAAAAGATATCATTTTAATGGCTTTATTTTGGTATTAACTGTTATTTAAACCTAGGTAAACCACTGTAAACCTAACTACCTTATTAGTGAAAAGGAGAAGTGGATTACATTAGTCATAGTCGACTTTGCATACTTATTTTTCATTTTTATACAAAGACAGACAAAATTAGTCAAAGTAGCGTTAGTGGTGCGAGGAGCCAGAAATTGTTTTTGGAACGGCACTATGTGCCTTAGAGGTAAGTACCTATATTTCAATGGAGGTACATGTGATAGATTTTGATTATCTTTTTACATTGTACAGTTACTCAGAATACTTATAGTTGAGCGATAATCTGTATAGTTAATAGCAGAACTGAAACAAATTTTCTTGTTTGTTCATATAGCGATAGATAGGTAGCTTATATAATAATTTGAGATCTGGAAATTGACTTTGCAGATAGGGTGCAATTACAATTGCTTGACTATATTATTTTTGTATAGATTGGATGACACTATAATGTTGTTATGTTATGATTCAATATCGATCTCCAGCAATTATTAGTCCTTTTTGCACTTATGGTATCTACAACTGTAGGTAGATATCATTTTCATGTATTCGCTTGGAATTAAAATAGAATACAGTTGGAAACATCAAGTGCGTTATCTAATTACACGTGTAGATTGGCGTTTTTATAAATATCAAAATTAAATAAAAGATTTCTTTTATCATCAATCATTACTGATCATTATCAAATGAACATTTTTTTCTGATGAGCTTCTTGATACAATGTCTTCCTCACTAAAAGGAGCAGAACATGTCGCAGCAGTAGTAATGGAGACGGTTTTAATTCAGAAAGTCCGATATCTGCACCATTCAAAATTGTTTTCGGCAATTTGTTTTTTAGTGTTTACTGAATAGCCAAAAGTATCTCACATGAACTAACAAAGTTCCAAATCCAGTAGTGTGCAGACATTTTGTGCGAGTGTTTCATAGGAAAAATATTGGTACCTACGTCCTTTTTGGAGCCTTTGAAGACTAATGCTAATACCTACCATGTTTGGGTTAAATGTGAAAGAAATAAGTATAGTCATATGTAGTGCTTACACACCTTTCCAAATAATTGCAAGCATTTCAATCTTTGAGCTTTCACCCTTGCTTACCTCACACAATTTTCGAATGCAATCACCTTGTTTAAAATTTGAGCACATTAATTTATAAGAAATAAAATGAAAACTAACCATTTCTTTAAATAATTACTAGGAGGGACAATTGGCTCCGTCTTCGCAGCCGCAACTGCTAAGGAATTTAAATCCGTAGCTGCAATTATTTTAGAAGACATGACGCCGAGACAAAGGCAACAATTTGTGAGTACTATAAGGCGCGCTTTGCAGCAGTATTCATGGATGGACGTGTACGAGCTTCAGAGAATATTAAGGGAGAATCAGTCTGTTGAAATACTTTTATTGGCTGCTATTAGCAACTTTTTTAAAGACGTAATGGGACATACAATAAGCATGGGATAACAGATTTGTATTTTTGACAGATAAATAATAAGATTGATTATTTCTTAAATTATAATATATATAATATTAGTCCAGTCATTAGTGTTTCACCTCGGAATGAAA